TTTTTTTTTTTTTTTGGTATGTTAATCGATCATGTCATGTTTGTTATTTACACATTTTATCTCAACGAATTTCTCATGTTATCAGAGTTGATCAGCACCATGCAAATAAATTCTGGGTGAAAGGAATTAACATTTTAATAGAATCTACAATGTCCAGTGGCATGCTAAGCCCTTTATATTTCATTTAATGTTTTAGTCTGTATAGAGGAAAACTATTTCATAGGCATAGAAGCCATAGTCTTCTCTGCCTTGGGTATTTGAAGCTCAAATACCCAAGCCTTGGCCAGGCTTAATGGCATGAACAAATTGAAAAAGTTAATAGTGATTATTTGGTCAGTAGCATCGTTTTCTGCTTTAAAGCACATTAAGTAAAAGTGACTTATACTTTAACTTAGGAATCTGATAGACTTTACCAGGCATAGGAAAAATATCTTGAGTTGAGAGGAAAAGAATCTTAGGGTATCTATAATAATAGATGAAATTATTCTCCATGGCACATTCCTCTTCTATGTACAAAATTTTATATCATGGCAATTGTTAGCCTTATATGTAATAACAATATAGTTACATTTTTTAAAGAGTATAACCTAGGAGAAAGTCAAATTATGTTGGAGAGTTGTAGATTAGGCAGATTTTTTAAGTGCTAAATTTTTTTTAGTTTATTTAGTTTTTGAGAGAGAGAATGGGAGAAGCAGAAAGAGGATCCCAAGCCCACTCCTTAGTCAGTGCAGAGCCTGGTGCGAGGCTCGAACCCATGAACTGCAAGATCAGAACCTGAGCTGAAACCAAGAGTTGGATGCTTAACCGATTGAGCCACCCAGGTGCCCCTAAGTGGTAAATTTTTAACTTTTTTTTTTTTTAAGTAGGCTCCCGCCCCATGTGGGGCTTGAACTCATGACCCTGAGATTGAGTCATGTGCTCCACTGGCTGAGCCAGCCAGGTGCCCCAGCTTTTAACATTTTAAAAATAAATCAAACATTACTGTGGATTTGACCAAAGATGTAGCAGTTGCCTTCCATTTAAACATGGGTTTATGAGGAGTTTTTTTTTTTTTTCTTTCTTTCTTAATGTTCATTTCTTTTAAGAGACAGAATGCTAGTGGGGGAGAGGGGCAGAGGGAGAGAGAATTCCAGGCAGGCTCCATGCCCAGAGTGGAGCCCTACATGGTTCTCCATCCCACGACTGTGAGAGCACACACAAGTGGGGGAAGAACAGCGAGAGGCAGAGAGAGAGAATCCCAAACAGGTTCTGCAGTGTCAGCACAGAACTCAACACAGGGCTCAGACTCACCGAACTGAGAGATCATGACCTGAGCCAAAATCAAGAGTCAGATGCCTGACTGACTGAGCCACCCAGGGGCCCCAGAATATTTTTAATTAAAGGAGAACCCCTTTCCATTTCAGCCATAGCCATGGTTTCTTAGATTCATTTGGTGTGATACGACAAAAATATTTGCATATTCAAAATTTGGTTTTTGGTTTTAGTTTTCTTTTAAACTTTTTACTTTATGCATCTTGATGACACCAGCATTTTTAGGTGTTAAAATTACCTGGATTGCCGACAGAAAAATAAACATTCAAAAAGTTGGCAATCTGCCTTTTTGTTCTAAGGTGCAAAGCAGTTGTAGCTATTTAGAATCTAATGGAGCATAGCATTCTTGAATGGTCTGATCAAGTGGATCATGAATTCTTAAGAAATATTTAAAGACATGGAGGACAACAGTAAAAAGTATGTTAATTAAATCATAAATTGACTACCATAGTCTACAATAAGGTGTTAAGTGTGGACTTCTGAATCAGTTATATAGTACATTAAATTTCCAGCTCTGACACTTATTCAGAGGACCTTCTTGAAAGATGAACATTGCCTATCAGATCAATTTTCACCTGGAAAATAGGAATAATCTAGTAACTACTAGTAGCTACTTAATTGAGGATTACAAGAGATAATTTGTTAAGGTGTCTAGTGCTCAGCAGTTGATCCCTATTTAAACATGTGATTTCTGAAATTTTTTGTGTTTACTTAGCGCCAGAGCAATACAATGTTACCATAATATTTTTTTTTAGAATTGGATGAGGTAACTTTGTGAAAGTGATGTATGCATACTTTGTTCAAATGTTACTATATTGCTAGAGTTAGCTGTGCATCTTTGAACTTCAGTGTCCTCTCTTGTAAAATGGGGGTGTTAGTATCTATTTCATAGGATCTTTAGGATTCTATAATACATGTAAGGAAGGTACTCAGAACACAATTTGGTACATACTAAGTGCTCAGTAGAATCTATTTTATAAAAATAATTACTGTTATACTAATCTTGCTACTAATGGTAGAAATTTAAAAATAGGAGTAGCTGGGGGCTCCGGGCTGGGTCAGTCAGTAGGGCATGCAACTTTTATTAATCTCAGGGTCATGTGTTCAAGCCCTTCGTTGCTCATAGAGCCTACTTAAAACTGAAAAAAAAATGAAAATAATAGTAGCTCATAGGTGATATCAAAGAACTGTTGGATTTTAAAGTTGAAAAAGATGTTAGAGATCATCTGGTAGTTGGGAAGAAACTGGAGAACAGTGCCTGGCACATACTAGGTACCTAGTATTTTTAACTGAATGAAACTAAGAGTATGTGATTTTACTTAAAGGAATAAAATTCTCATAGTCTCATGGTTTGTGAGTTCGAGCCCCGCATCTGGCTCTGTGCTGACAGCTCAGAGCCTGGAGCCTGCTTTGGATTCTGTGTCTCCCTCTCTCTCTGCCCTCCCCTGCTTGCACTCAGTCTCTCAAAAATGAATAAATGTTTAAAAAAATTTTTTTTTTCTAAATGGCATTACATTTCTGGAACTTTTCTCCCTACAAATTAAAAATAAAAATCAGGTAGCCTGTTATGAACTCCTGCTTTGCTTGACTTTGCATAAGCTGGTTTGTTGGCCTCAAGATTTCTTTGTACAGCTGTAATCTTTCATTATGTTTTAAGAAAATATTAAGAGTTGGTTTTCTGCTTGATTTGATAAGCCCTTGTTATTCTTAAAATTTTTTTAATGTTTATTTATTTTTGAGAGAGAGCACAAGCAAGGGAGAGACAGAGAGGGAGACACAGAATGCAAAGCAGGCTGTAGGCTCTGAGCTGTCAGCGCAGAGCCCAACACGGGGCCCGAACCCATAAATTGTGAGATCATGACCTGAGCCCAAGTTGGACACTTAACTGAGCCACCCAGGTGCCCAACCGACTGAGCCACCCAAGCACCCCAAGTCTTTGTTATTTCTTAATAAGAAATGGGTTTTTAAGAATGACCTATTTTTCCCTCCCCAGATGACACTCATTAATTCATTCAAGAAAACAGCTATCAACTACCTACTCCTTTGTCAGTCCTTTTTAAATTTTAGATGCTTGGGATACATTATGAATATGACAGTGCCTCTTCTTTCTGCTACCCTCTTAAATGCTGCATCCAGAACACCTGAGATACACATTAAAATACAGATTCTCAGGCCCAAGATTAGATCTCAGAATGGGGTTAAGACTTTTTAAAATAGGGGTAACTTCCAGAAGTTTTGAGGTTTTGATAACAAGCCAGATTTAGGGACTATTGCTCAAGGAGTTTTTCTGGAGAAGATAAAGTATGTTTACAAATAGGTGGAACTGGGGTGCCTGGGTGCCTCAGTCGGTTGAGCATCTGACTTCAGCTCAGGTCACGATCTCGCGGTCTGTGAGTTCGAGTCGGGCTCTGGGCTGATGGCTCAGAACCTGGAGCCTGCTTCTGATTCTGTGTCTCCCTCTCTCTCTGCCCCTCTCCCGTTCATGCTCTGTCTCTCTTTGTCTCAAAAATAAATAAACATTAAAAAAAAATTTAAAAAAAAACAACAAATAGGTGGAACTGGTGAGTGCCAAAGAAAGAGATTTCTTGAAAACCTCAGGCTTCTGTAAGAATTAAAATTTTTGAATGTTTTGTTGATAGTAGAATTTGAACATTCTTAAGAGTGGGAGGTGATTTTCTTTTATTTAAAAGTACGTTATACAAGGAAGTTTTTCTTCCCAACCTGTCCACACTTTTTTTGAAAATTCAAGTAGGTCACTAACACAAGATTTGGTCTATTTGATTTTTAAAAAGTGTTTAAAGAATGCAAGGCTATGATGTATAAACTCTTAGATTCTTGGCAACTTTTGATATCAATGTGTAAGTTGCTTAAAGATTTGAGCCTGATCCTAAACTAGCACAATATGTGTATTAAAGCTTTCTGAAAGTACCATCAGTTTCACAGCCATTTTTTAGTTAAAAGATTTCTCTTGAATCGGTATCATTATTCTTATTAGCAGTTATCTTTAAAAAATAATTTCTCTGGGGCGCCTGGGTGGCGCAGTCGGTTAAGCGTCCGACTTCAGCCAGGTCACGATCTCGCGGTCTGTGAGTTCGAGCCCCACGTCAGGCTCTGGGCTGATGGCTCAGAGCCTGGAGCCTGTTTCCGATTCTGTGTCTCCCTTTCTCTCTGCCCCTCCCCCGTTCATGCTCTGTCTCTCTGTGTCCCAAAAATAAATAAACGTTTGAAAAA